ACACACACACACACAAAGGATTGCAGGTTCCAGCGTCGATCCTCGGCGAGTTCTTGACAGTAGAGAAGGGAGCCAGAGATATTTGTTGTTTGTCTGCTGTTCGGATCTACTTTCGATCAAATATTACTCATCGGGATTTGCATGAGCATTTCAAAGTCTGCAGCTTAAGATGCAACACACTCTGAAATTATTTCTCACTCTAACACACACACACACATGGGCAGATCTCCAACTTCATTACAACAGCACTCTGGCAGACTGATTGAGTGATCAAAGCTAATCTCATTTAATCACATCCAATCATATGTAATAACCAACACTGAGTGCTCAGGCATGACAAAACTCCCCATCTCCCCCTTTTCCTCACTCACTCCTTGACCCTCCTCATCTGCCTTCTAACGACTTCTCCTCCGTCACCCATTCTCTTGTCTTCCATGTTTGCTCTCACTCAAACACCAGACTGAACAAGGAGAAAGGGTTAAAGGAAGGGTGTCAATAAGAGGAGCACATAAGGAATAAAGGAGAGGGTGAAGGATGAACACCCTCAGTAGGACATCGAGCCCCCCGGCAGACGCAGCTCGCAGTACCTGTGTGGTTCCTTTAGGAAGGAACAAGATCTTCCTTCCGGCTGTGTGACTAACAGCTTAGGAAGAGCATGATCTAGCAGTAACAGACACTATTTTAAACATTATGGTCTTCTTTCCAATTTATATTCAGTAGACACTTTAAAAAGCTGCTGATTTAAGCCTCTGCCGTTTTTCTTCGCTTTGATCAGATTTTGAAGTCCGCTAAGATGCTCTCTTCAGACTGCAGTTACATGTAATAATAATACCATGTGATAACTGGAACTAGTAAGGATTTAAGTAGACACCATCACCCAGCACACAGAGTGTAAATATTCTTATAGTATGAATTTTCTAGCTGTCACATGGGATGTTAAGAGCGCTCATCTGATAAAGTTGTAGTTGTGAGACGCTGCGGCTCTGCATACCTGTTTTTAATGTTTGTGGAAGGTGAAAACCTCGAAACACAAACTCAATCTTGCGTGACCTTAAGATAAAAGCTCCCCTGTTATCTCAGATCAGCTCACTTGTTTTCCTATTGGTCTACTTCTTTACCCTGTTTCCAAACCTCATCTGTATTAAAGTAGAAAGTTGCTTTGTTACGACCAAAGACAGAAAACAAACTGCTCTCACCTTGCAGTTATATTGCATTTATATAAGGTGTTAGTATGCTGCAGACAACGTGCCTGTCTGTTGGTCACAGGGAATCTGAAAAAAAACACCTTTCTGACATCTGAATTGGGAGAGCTGTTTTGTTTTGTTTTTTTCAATTTTACTCTTTCCGAAACCGAAAATTGGACAAGCACGGCCACTTTATGCAACAATGGGCCGGATGTGCAGAGGCAAGAAAGTAGGAAGAGTTTAGACTTCTGTCTCTCTTTTTTCATTCTTCACACAACTTCTTCTGCCTTTTTACAACATCATCATCCAACCTGACTTTCCGTTATTTCCACTGTACGATTTATCGTGTCTCGCCCCTCTCAGAGGCTACCTGCTTTTTGCCCCGCCTTTGATTGTGGCTGTTTGGAACAGCTATAAACACTCTTTTTAAACACCTTAACGTGGTTGGACAACACTTAGCACAGACTAGTTTATTTCAAGCATACTCTGGCCTTTACTTTGAAGAGGAGTCATTTCTTTCTAGTTTGTTTCAGTTGTGATCCTTGATGCTTGTCTGTCTTTAGGATTTGTGCGTGTCCTGAATTTTGACGTGGGAAGATTTTTGATCAAAGTCAGAAGAGATTAAGAAGAACAGATCTTGTTCAATTTGATCACACTGATCAGAGGCAGGCTGTAATTAAGATAACCAGCACTCTCCTCCAAGTTAAGTGCTTCTATCCAGTCTTCAAAGAACGCACCAATGAGAGGAAAGCAAATATCTGTTATGTAATTTGTGAACCATGAGGCTTTTTGCTGGCATTTCATTCCATGGATCACTTTTGCTTCTTGTCAAGTGCGTGGTTGTCACAGTGCCAAAATTAAACAAATACATTCATTGAGGGTCCGAAAGAGCAAAACTAACTCCAGCAATTCCTGACAATGTTTGAGTTCATTTCATTTTGAAGTACCTCACTTGTGCCTCCAACAAGCACAGATTGCGATGCGTTTCAGAGTGTGACACAGTTTAGATATTGTATCAGAGGCCTTTGCAGCTTGCCAAGCTAACTATCTGGGGAAGAGCTGTTGTAACATAAAACTTGTACCCACAAAAATAACAAACCCATAGCCAAAGCCTCAGGTTTTTGGAGGCACACATTGAGATAGAAAAACAAACAACCAAAAAGACATCAGGGCATCTGCTTGTCTCCTTCCCCAGGATGCTTTGCTGCGGCTGGCAGCGGTTGCTGATGCGGGCTCGCTTCGAGTGGCCCTCCGAGACAGCATACACGAGCTGCTACCCAGCACGGTATTTGCACAGACACACACAAACTCTACAGTTAGCACAAACAACTAAACGTAATTGATATTGTTTATGATTTATTATCTGAAAACTGAAAGATTCCTGTTGGTATTCAGAGCGGTGGCGCTAGAAGCCTCGGCCCTGACATAAGACCAGGGAACATTTTTGCAAATGGATGAAGCTCATCACTCATCAAATTAATTAGAATCTGATTACAAATGAATGTGCACATACATGTGTGTGTTTTATTCCAGGAGTGTGTGTGTGTCTACATGCTGGAGGGATACTCGAGGCTGTTATCTGACGACCCACCACATGAACTGCCACGGGAGGGAAAGATCAGGTGTGTACCCTTTGTGTGTGTGTCTGTGCCGCAGATGTTTCGCAATAGAAAAAGGAAGAGCTGAAGAGGGGAAAACAGCGACGCTGTTTTCTCTGTGGGAACAGCAGGTGTTACCTGAATGATTATGAGCCGCTCTGCCCCAAATCACATGATCAACACGGAGACAGGAGTGTCGAAGAGAGAGTGTCATCATTGAGGCACACAAGGAACTTCTCTTTGTTCCTTTTACTTTTTTTCTCATCTCCCACATCTATTGCTCTCTCATTAAAACACTCCCTTTATCTCCCCCCGCCCCTTATTACACATCCCTCTATCCGACAAACTATTTCCCTCTCTTCATCTGTTATCCTATCCACCTTCCCACCGCACTGCATTAGTCTGTCGTGTCCCTTTTTTTTTACCTATCAGCCTGCTTACTCCCCAAAGAGCCATGAAGCACAAAAAGCACTAAGCACTCCCCCTCCCTCTCCCCAGCGCTCCTCTTTCTTTCTCACCTTCAATCCCTCTCCCCGCGGAAGCGTCACAGGGCTAATAGCTGAGGTGACAGCGCCCGGGGTCCCTCAGTGAGACGCCGCGATCCTTTCCACTCTTAAGTGCTCTCTGAAGCTCTACAACCCGCATGCTACTGCGACTGCTGTCCAGGCTCCGCAAAAACCAACACTACATAATAGATGAAACTGTCTGTTTGTCAGACAAGAACCCCTTTCCCAGCACCTCATCGCCACACAAACACAAGCTCAGACACAAACACACAAGGACACAAGCATAAACCATACATACATACATTATTACATACAGTATGCACAGCCACACTCATACTGTGCTCACACACATGCACGCTAAAGGTAATTGGGATATTAAAAGAGCTACAGGGCACTTGGTCACTTTTCTCCCTCCAATTCACATGCTTATGTAAGCCTGTTATGAAGATCGTGGCGCACACACACATATACACAATGAACCCATCTGAGAGGCAGAAGGCCACTTTGTTTGAGCCTCTTTCCCGCCCACTTTCCAATGCATACAAGCCCATTAACTGGACCTTCACACACACACACACACACACACACACACACACACACACACACACACAAATATGCACCAACCAACCAAAAGCGGTTCCATGATCGTTCATCCTCTAAACTATTTGTTATGGACAAGATAACTGAAGCCTCACAGCCAAACAAGCTATTGTTTGACTGCTAAAGGTAAACTCACAGTCCAGATCTAAAATATGCAGAATACAGTGATAAGTATACACAATGCAACTGCACAACAACATGCAAACCGGCCAGCGGCTTCAAACCGAGAACACTCTTGCTGTGAGGTGACAAGGCTAACCACCGCACCACCATGCCGCCACTTAATATGCAAATGATTGATAATTTGATGTTTTTTGACATTATATTTCATAATGATTTTGACAACATTCAAATCCTGCGAGCATAATTGCTGCCATTCCCCATCAGAGATGCATAAATGAACAAAAATATGGACAAACACACAGACAAATAACTGTTATAGTGGAGTGCCTCTCGAGCTCCTAAAAACAGAGAGGAATTATTTCACGCACTGTTGATCGTGTCGTTCTTGTTCTCTGTCATCCGCAAAATCTCTGTCAGGAGCTGCAGTGTTTCTCAACGATGGTTAAGCATTGACGACAAATGGAGCTCACAGCGGCGGTTCAGGCAGGAACATGAAGTCATTAGCATCACACAGATCAATTAATCATCAGCTGATTTCTATGAGTGCCAAATACACACCCACTCACCCACATCTACTATATCTTGGTGGCCTATTTAAATGTCCATCTCTAGGTATTTGCTACTGCTGCTGCCGCTAACAGTTGTCATTGGCCCCCACTGCACAATAAACACAAGGCCTACCCCGCCAGCCTTGACCTGTATGATATTCACATGGATCTATTGCTGCTGCTAACTGTAACTGTAAATTGCATTATGTAATAGGTATGTCATATGTGCACAGAGAAAACTAGATTACAGTGTTTTTCATAACGCCCCAGGGTGGGTTTTTTGCTCTTTGCCGTGCCCGCCATAAATTGGCTTCATGGTCGTGCACAAAAGCTGCTTTGAACAAAGACATTACACAAAGGTCAGCTGTATTTGTCACCATAGTACACTGTGTGAGCTGAAACAAATGGACACTTTAAATCAATGCACCATGCAGAGATTTGGTGGCAATGGTTTGAGGGGATTTCAGACTCTGTGAGCATGTAATGGAGGGACTGCTGTTGTGTGTGCGTGTGTGTGTGTGTGTGTGTGTGTGTGTGTGTGTGTGTGTGTGTGTGTGTGTGTAGCTGCTGGAGGGTTCATTATATTATTATGTGGAGCACATAGATTGTGAATTTACCTGTGTGCATGAGTAAAACTATGTTCCTTCTTTTTGTCCTTCATGTCCTTATTCATGCAAGTCTGATTGTGTTTGCTTACTTACATGTGCAGTGACATGTGTGTTGTGTGCGCGTGTGTGCAAATGCATGTGTCTTTGTGTCATTTGGCAGTAGTCAGTCTAGAATAATCAAATGCCTCATAAAACAGATGCCCTCTGTATTACTATGTCAGTATTAAGTTCATATAATTTAACAATGAATAATAGTTATATTCAGACATGTTTTGGTTAGTGTCAATGAGCACAAAGTGTCTGTTTTTGTAATGCTGGTTATCGGTTTCCCATTGGCTCCAATTGTGGTCCAAATCCCCTCATCCTCTTTTTCTCCCCATTGTCTGAGAGACTGTCTCTTTCTATTTCTCATTCTAACTGATGTGCTAGAGGTAATTGTCTTTCTCAATTATGAGTCGAACTCAACTTGTGTCTCTCTCTCTTAGGAGTATCGTGGACCAGCTGAGGCGATGTCAGTGTGTCGGCCTTCCTCCGTCCGAACTGCCAGAGAAATACAGAATCTGCCTCGCAGCACCGTTACCAGCACACAGAAGAGGTGTGTGTGGTTTTCCCACATCCGTCTATGTTGAAGGGTTTAGCAACAGCTAGAATGATGCTGGCGGAAAGACAAATAGACCAACATCTGTGTGTGTGTGTGTGTGTGTGTCTGCGTGTGTGTGTGTGTGTGTGTGTGTGTGTGTGTGTGTGTGTGTGTGTG